CTTAAATACTTTACCACGTATTTATTTAGTTATCTTTTCTTTCTTCTCTCTCTTCTTCTTTTTTTATATATATATATATAAATAATTTAAGTTCACGCTTATAAAAAGCATTTTTTTCAAATCCAGTTTAAAGTTGGTTATATGAAACTTAGTTCAATAAAAGATACTTATTTGACTACTAATGTTTTGCATCTCTCTGGTAGTTAATGATTAATAAATTCAAGGTTTTGTCAATTATCATTACTCCCAAAAATTAAATTTTACTAACCTAGCAACCATTTTGAGAAAGGTGGACTGCTTAATATTTTTTGTGGTTATTAATTTTTCATTTTATTATGTCGTGTATCGTGTAAATGTTTCTGTCTAACATGTTAATTACATCTGTTGACAGTAATATTTGAAAATATTTAATTTAATTCAAAATATTCTGATGAGAGTTAGATACTTGTGATAAAATTTATTGGACTGCAGATATTTTTTTTCCTGTTCTTGTTCATTTGTCCCTTAGCAATTTGAGATCAGAGGTTTGATTGAATGGGTAACATTTTAAATTTATCTGTAGTCTATACATATCACATTCTTAGTTTGTTGGTCACCTATGCTTCATTAGTTTTTGGTGTGACTTTAAGACATCTTTTGTTTCATGAGTGGAGGAAAAAAATTAATAAAAGAATTGAATAAAAAAAATGACACTTTATGAATGACATAAAGATAATACTAGACTAAACACAAATATTTAATTCAGTTCTAACTCTTTCGCTACTAAGAAATTTCCTGAGGATCCTCATAGTTTAGAAACTACACACTTAAAAAATGCAAGGTTATTAATGTGTAATTGTAATTTATCATTGAATATGAAGCCAGCTGATTGCTTGATTATATGTGGTAATATTTGTTCATCAACATAACCATTACCTGCACATTTCCCTTGATTTACATATTGGGTTTTAATTAATACTTACATTTTTTAATATAAATTAATTAGATACTTGAAGTCCTTACTGTACAGTAAGTACACAGTATAGTTAGAATAATAAATGTTTCATCCTAAATCAAAAGTAATTTAGTGATTTTCACAATCTAACATATGAACTTTGAAGTTGAGTCTCCAACATATATCAGACTGGGAGAATAAAACATTTAAAAAAACATAAATTATCGTGCATACAAATGTTGACTTACAGTTGAAAGAGAGACTTTTGTGTATTATGTGTGGGTATACATATTATTGGCCAGACATTGAAATATAGTTGGACTATTTCTTATTTAAGTTTAAGGACTTTTTTTTAACTGCCATCTGTAATGATACTTGGAGAAATCATACAGGTTTGAGTAAATGAATAAAACAAAAAAAAAGGTTTTGGAACATAAACATTCCTTTATCAGGAGAGACATGTTACTAAGTTATTTGAAAGTTTGCTATGTTAAGTTAGTAATCACAGTATTGAAGTTGTGTTTATATCTTTATCATTATGTTCTGTATCTCTAATAATAACAATATTGACATTTAATGAAAAATGTTTACAAGTAATGTACATCTATTAATAAAGGTCATTCAGTCTTATGGGAAATTCAGCATTGTTCATGGTACAAATTAAGTTTAAAACATTTTACAGAATATTGCGACTTTCATGTCTGCACTGTGTATTTTTAACAATTGTTCATGAATCACTGGTGTGGTAATTACCATTAGTTTAAGATGTTACCGCCAATGACAAGTAATAATATATGTTATATAGCCTGCATTAACTATTAGGTTACATTTTATCTGGTTAATTTGTCATATTAGCAGTTTTTTTTTTGTAGTAAGCATATATTTTTCTTTTTCTGACATTCAGCTAAGTAATGTTTTTAGAATAACAATATTCTCGCTATTTATTTTGCAGTTTAATTATTCATTTATTATTTTGTAACTTGATTAATAATGGCTGTTTGCTGTATTACTTTCCGACTGTAATTAAACTGTAAAATGTCATTGTAATTTATCTCAGGTACTTGGTTAAAACAGTTTTTGTTATTATTTGAATGATTATTAAGAATGTGGTTAAGTATAAGCAGTTAGTAAAGTTTATCAATGTCCTAACCTGGAGTTTAAAGTACATTAATGGTTGAGTAAAAATATTACTTTTACTATTGTGCTAGAAGCCCAATCAAAATAAAACACTAGTTAACTGACCTGTAGGTCAAATAATTTTTTTTGTTGAGAGAATGCAAACTTAACGTTATGAGAGGTACATGTGACTAAATATTTAAAATATACAAATTTATTGTGAGCATAATTCTGTGTATTATTTATTCATATATCAAGAGTAGCTATTACTTAAAATATTTTGAATTCATATCTATGGAGTTTATATTAAAGATTTTGAGAAGCATTTTAATTGTTCATTTTCAGAAATTACGGCAACATTTTTATAATAGCGACTTATTTTTTATTTTTATTTAATAGTCCTTAATATTTAGAATGTTCATAAGTTGATTCGGACATTTCAGTGTTATGTTTGTGGCAAGAATGGTCACATTTCACGAGACTGCCGAGAAGGGGACAGGGATGACCGCAAGTGTTACAACTGCGGAGAGACTGGGCATATAAGTCGGGATTGTCCAGAAGCAGGTGAAGGTGGTGATGCTGATAACACGGTCTGCTACCGGTGAGTACAGACTGCTGCTCTCTTACATATTCCAAAGTCAATCAACATGAGAGAAAACGGAGGTTTCTGTGGTGTCTACATTTGGAAGAAATGCTTGTTAGTGATGTTTGGACATTTTTTAAAATATAGGAGTCTTGGTAAAGCTGCATTATCTTTTATTTAAATGTCTTTGCATGTTGTTTTCTGGTTCTGAGACACAGGTTATAACCTCGTCAGTGTATTTCTTTAGCCAAAATAAATTTTTCTTTCATCCATTTGGAGAGTATTTTGGTTTTTCTTTCCCTGTATATGTAGCTAAGTGGTTTATCCTTTTATTTAGTAGATTAATGTTAAGTATGAAACCTAGTGAGCTGAATAATTAATCTTACTGTCGGCAAGTTCTGATTTTAATCATTACAACGTTGCTACTCATAATATCGAGTCAGCATGAAATAAGAGTTACAATGACATTGAATGTAAATTACATGATGATGACCCGATACTATGGGTCAAAGCACTATAATCATTGTAATTAAAACTTACCTGCCGTAAAAGTTGCTGTTATTGGATTTTTGAATATTATGGTCCATCACTGTTAGAAGCAAGAACAAGTTTGCTTTAGCTATGTGTTATATTTCCAAACTACTTAACATGCAAGAATTTAGCATTTCTAAATGCACACATTTGTTTATAGCTACTGTTATTTATAATCAGTTTACAGTTTTCTGCAATCGTAAAATAATCATTTTTGGATTGCACTGTCTTCCACACCACTTGTGGTTAAACATCTTAAAATGTTTTAATAAAGAACAAAACTATAAGAAGCGATTAAGGTAAATGTAGCCGTGTACAGTAATTCAGAGTGTGTTTATATATACACACACACACATTTTTTATGTAAGCTTGGAGGTGACAAGTTAAAAATGGTAGAAAATTACTGATGCTTCAGTGGTGCATGTTACGTCACAATTATTTGTTGAATGAGCTGAACCTTAAGATGTTTGGATACCTAGTCTGAGCTTTCGTTTTGTAATATGTTCTCCCTGGAAACGTATAACCGAGTGTGTCTAAGTTGTTACAACATGTAAAGAACCTGTAGCTTGACAATCTACTTTTTCACTTGTCAGAAGAGGATGCTGCTGATTTATATCATTTAGTGAGTTGAACAAATAAATGGCAGATGGGTTTTAATTATAATAAATGCAAGATATGCATGTGGGTTATCATAATTTGGATGGGAATAACCTTAACAGTGTTATGAAGGAAAGGGATCTTGGTGTAATAGTCGATCAGTCTCTAAAGCCATCCAAGCAGTGTGCTGTTGTTAGTGGTATGGCAAATAGGATTTTAGGTTGTATCTATAGAAATATTGAATACAAGTCTAAATAGGTCATAATTTCATTGTACAGGTCACTGGTTAGGCCACATTTCGAATAGTGTGTTCAGTGTTGGGCTCCTTACCTAAGGATAGAAATTGAATTGTTGGAAAGGGTTACTAGAATGGTGTCTGGGATGGGTGGGTTTGTCATATGATGAGGAGGCTGAAATCTCTCAAATTGTTTTCTCTTCAAATAAGAAGAGTTAAGGAAGATCTTATTAGGTGTTTAAGATTGTAAAGTGGATTGATAGTGTTGATGCATCATCTTTTTTCATATTTAACAGTGAGAATAGTAGGATTACAAAACAACTTTAAATTTTGGCAAGGTAGGAGTCGTCTTCAGCTAAGACAGTTTTATTTTTCTAACAGGTTGGTTGGCCTTTGGAAGTTGTTGAGGTAATAAATTTAAGTGAGTTTAAGAAAAAGCTTGATAAGTTTATGAATGATAAAGGCTGTTTTTATAATTATTTTAATTTAATTTAGAGGATGGAACAGTCGAGATGGACCAATAGGGTCCCATGTTGTCCCAAAACGTTGTAATGTTAATCTTCTATGATATCAGAATCCCAAGTTTTTTTGTTTTTTTTTAATGAGACATGTAAAATGAATCCAGGTTACAGAGGTTAAAAACTAGGGTTAAAATATATTGGAAAAAATTCTCATTTTTATAATATCCATTTCATCAGTGTAAATGAGCAGAACATTGTTTTAGTAATACTGGGAGTGTGCAGAAACATTTTAAGGCAAAACAAGTCAAAGTGCACATGTCATGACTTTTTAGAGAGTTACATTCAAACTTTGATAAGACAGCTTTAGTATCAGTGTGTAAGAATGAATTTGGCATCAAAATTTTAAAAATTCTTGAATCTCCCCCTAGTGTGAGAATCATGATATTTGTGCTTTAGGTTTTCTTCCTTCTTTTACCATCTCTCCCTGAAGTACAGAATTTAACATAAATTACTCATTATAATATAGGTATTACTAAGCCATGGTCTATTTTTTTCTTATAGCCTTCAGTATTTGTTTACAAAGAGAAAAACTAGTAAATCAGACTCTCTTGCTATGACTGTCTCTCTCTTTCACAAGTAATTCTCTCTGGCATTTTATTCTGTATTATTTATAACCAGTCGAAAAGGCAAAATTTTAATCCGTCAAATGATGTATTATATTACATTATTTTCAGTACAGACTATTGTCTATTTCATCTTCAGTGTTCAGATCTAGAAGATTAAAGAATTATTTTAAGGCTTATAGTACTTACCATTGTTCTTTTGTTTTTTTACTGTCAGTTGTTGATGAGATTTAAGCCTACTTTTTTAATACTAATACTAGAACATAATTTTTTTTATTTATTTAAATAATACACCCAAGAACACAGAATAATAACATGCACAAAGCAAACCTCTTATAAGTATTGTAATTTAACTGGCTTTCTAAAACGTAAATGCCTTATCTACTCAATCTGAACATCGTGAAAGAAACCTTCCAACTGAAGCCAAATTGTATTGAGAACAGCATAGCTTTTTACATCATTTGATATTGTAACATTGTTATTCAGACTTCATTATCAGCATTGTTAGAACTTGTGTCTTAAAAACCTGACATCTCACAAAAAGAAATGGATTTCTTCATGGAAGTTTTACTAATTGTGTAAAAATTCACATTTATTATCAGTCAAATATTGAATGATTATTTTTTAAAACCACAGTATGCTCTATTTTTAGAAGAAAATAATCGTTTACAAAAAAAAATTTGATTTTTACAGTGGGCCACTGGGGGATCTGCATCTTTCAGTGTTAGATAACATGAATAATTTACAGAAGTATTTAATGTTTGTCTTCAAAAATATACTTCAATCAGGATTGGTGAACTGGTTTTCAAGAAAACTCTTTTCCCAGTCATCTGAAAATAATAATTTAATGTGAAGAACTGGGATTATATACTATATTGTTTCATTTTGGTGTTTGCCTAAAATTCCTTTTACATAATGTGTATACATCAAAAATATATTTAATACACAAGACGTGTATTAAGTGCTAAATGGAGCTTTAGACATACAGACCACAACTTCATTATATACAGTGCATTTAAAGACAGTTGTTCAGAAATTAAATATACGTATTAAATTAGCTTGTTTGTTTGAATAACTGATAAGAACATTGTCATCTCGATAACCATATTGGTGATCCTGCTTCTACAAAGCTGCTATTATTGTTTCTAAATGTATTGTTGCAACAAAGAAAAGGTAAAAGAAGTTGTTTTCGTTGACATCAAATTCTTCGCAACTCAATGATAAATAATAAATGAGACATATAATATGGCTGACTAATCATTGGCATTATATGGAGAAGGGGGTACTTCTAAGGCCGAGGTGATTAAAAGTCAGATAAACTACAGAGTTTCCTTCTATAAATGTGCAGTTGAGTGTCAGAATTTATCATCTGAGATTGGCCTACATATCCCAGTGAGGAATGCTATATATGTAGCACTATTTGTCGGAAACGTTTAATGTCGAGGTGAAACCGTCATTTCCAGGCTTTTACCTCGTATGACCTGAGAGGTTAAATGAGCCAAATGCAAGCTACCTAATGCCATATTTATTAATTACTTCATTTCGATGAAATATTTTAACTGTATAAGGATATTAGAGATAATGTAATATTTGCTACTATTTTAAGACCATTATGAAAGATATTTTTGGCCTTAACAAAAAATGTGCAATTTTTCTCGTACGTACAATGTTTCATCAGTTTTATTCCATAGTTAATGTTATTTTGACAACTACATTTTATCCATTAATATCCTTGGATTTTTTCCCTATAAATTTGAAAGCATGGGAACTCTGTTTACTGTACTTGAAACTTTTGAGAAAAAAAAAATAGTTTGAATACAGTATGCAGTTGTATACTGGGAAATATTTTAATTTATTTTTATTTTTCTGAACCAGTTGCAATGAAAAGGGACACATCGCTCGTAACTGTCGATCCACTCAAACTGGCAGCAAGTGCTACCACTGTAACGAGTTTGGCCATATTGCCAGAGATTGTGAACTCTAGGCATAACCTCTTCTACTTACCCACGTCACAGCCTCTTGGTCGTTTAGCACAGGTGAGACTCAGCCTCTAACACACTAGTTGCGGGCCAGCCAAGACAAGTTGGTCTTGTGCTGTGAACGTCTTGAATTTTGATGTTGGTGAGATGTTTATCTGCATTGGTATTATTCTTCTAGCTAGGTGTTACTACTAGGCCTCCCAGTAAAACATTAGAAAACTGTAAAAAATGCTTATTTTCATTCTGATCCTTTCTTTTTCTTATGTTTGTTCCAAATGAGTGTTAAAACCTATATGTTTAACCAAAATAATTGCTACAAAATTCTCAGTACTTTAGTCCTGAAATTTCTATAATTGTCACCATGTTAAAATCTGTCATCGCGCACTAAGTACTGCATTTTTTCATGGACGTTTTACACATAGGTAGAGAAATTCATATTTATTATGAGTTACATATAAGTTATGTATATTTTGCAAAAAAAAACACAATTTTCTCTATATAGGTTTAGAAGAAGAAAAAAAAAACTTTTCAAAAAATTATTTGCGATGGCTCACTGGGAGGCCTGTACTACGAATTCTCAGCAGAGGGCAGCAGTCAAATCTATAAAACATATTGGAAAGTGTCAAATTGAAAACGATTTTCAAAATTTATTTTTTACATGTAGAACAGATCAAATTTTATTAGCTAGAGTTGAAAACGTTTTTGACTTTTTAAATGAAAAAAATATATATTATTGTGCATTTTTTCAAGAAGTATAGTTGTTGGTGATGTCTTCAGCATTTGTTGGAAACCTGTTATCAGAGTGGACTGAGCTGCCCTGTGACTTTGTCACAGTCAAACTAGTTGGAGTTTAGATGTGGTGAAGGTTGTCGCCGTGGGAGAATGGAAGTTTAACTTTTTTTTTTTTTTTCCCCTCCTACACTTGTGTGGTGTTAATTTTTGTAATTAACTCGGAAACGGCTACCCACTCATAGCATGTAGCCCATAATTTCGTGTTTATTTTTTATTTAATCTTAAACAGTATTTTCTGATGGTCTGCTGTTCTTTTCTGTAATAGGTAGTAGACCTTATCTTTGTTGAGTTATTAGGTGCATATCTAATATTGGAGAGTTACATTCTCTTATTGGGGAACAGATGGTTCAGAAGGGACTTTCCAAGAGATCACATTGTGTCAAGTGAAAGAATTGAGGGTGTCTTGATATTTTTGGTGAATGGTTGACAGATAATCAGTTGGCCTTGACTTGTTCAGTGGCCTTTGTGATTTTCTTTTATGCCTTAATTTTGGACCAGATATAAAAGAATGTAACATGAACTATGTCTTATTTTACCTTATATCATTTTAATGATTAAAATTGTTTAACAAATATGATGAAAAAGGCAAAATTCCAGTTATCTTTTTTTTGTGTCACTGAGTAAAGAATACTTATTTCAAGTTAATACCAGTACTATAACTTAAAAGTAAATAAAGTATAACACAATGCTTAAAAAACTTAACATTATTTATGATTGAATGTCCATAATATTTTGTGTTATATCCGGTTGCTCTTTATTTACTCAGATAGTAAGCCATAATAACTAAGTGAAAAAAACATGGTGGTGACTTTTTTTTTCCCCGTCTAGAATGAACTTCATTTGATGTATAAGGTTATCAAGTAGTTTTTGAAGTGTACGCTGAACATGATTTAGTTATTTTTGAAAATTCAAAGATAAAAGTTGGTTGACGTTTAGAAAGTTAGGTGTTGTTTCTTTTGGTTACTGTCTTATTACAATCTTAAAAAAATCATTTTATGTTTATTTTTCACCAAAGCTTAATAAACATGTAGGATTAGTGCCAGCTGGAGTAGTTTTGTTTTTTCCTCTAATTAAACAATTATTAAAAATGTCTGGTTGGAGCCAAGTGAAGTACAGTTGTTTTATGATTGCCATCTGGTGTATTTTTATTGGACTAAAAATAAGCTTTTTTGTTGATAAATTATTTAAAAATTTTTTTTAAAGATTCATTTCATCTTTCAACTTAAATGTCTTAGTGACTTAATGAAAAATGTTAGATAATAAACCCCAAAAATGTCATAGGTCTCGAGTCAAACTTTCTAGACTTTTTATTTTATTAACAGTCTAGTTAAAACGTTATGGAAGTTGGTATTGGTAGTGAAATAGAAACTTTTCAGTGATTGAGGAATGATGAATATGAAAAGTTAATCCCAAGTTCTCTATTCTCATGTGATCAGTACATGTGAAATTTTACTGTCACTAGTTTCTTTTCTGTCTTATTAGATTGTGATTTTTAAAATAAAGACAACATTGGATGCTTTTTGCTGTCTTTCTTTATTTGAATAACCTTATGATGTATATTTAAATAGCCTCGATTTGGTGGTGGCCATATAGGGTGCACAGTGGCCCACCAAGCTCTAATCCAATTAACTCTATAAGTTCTGCTAACAAACTAAGTATGGCCTCCTATATAAATTTGGTCAAGCTGATGTAATGTTAGTAAAATCCGAGGGTTCTCGGTTCACGTCCCATTCCTGCATTTTGGAGTCGTGGGTGTATGATAGGAATGAGGGTCAAGGCCCACTATTCGATCATGCATGATTTGACAGTAAATGATATTAATTAGTTGCAAATCTCTAGTCAATCGGCTCAAGATTAAGGACAACTTTGTGTAGCTCAGTGCGTAATTTTGGAGAAAAAAAAGTCTGATTCGTAGAATAAAAACATCACTCGCATTCCTGTAAAATTTCCAAATAACTAGTGGTCAAGTCAATTAAGAAACAGTCTACATGTATATTTATACGCATTTGCACTCAGGTGGCAAGGCAACATCTACTAGTAATTAATGAAACAACTTAAATGTTCTGTATTTAAATAATCTATGTATACACACGCACACATAATTGAAATCTAATATACAAAATTTTAGCGATATCTTTTAGAAAGTTTTGCTTTCTATCAATTCCTGGTGGAGACTCCATCAAGTTCAGTCGCATACCTTTTGAAACAAAATAAATTTCAATAATACATGGTAAAAATACTTTTTTCAGTATAGCTCGATTGCTTTGAGAAAATTGACGTTTTCATCCCCGTGAAGTGTAATAGAGAGAATTGGTAGGAATTAGCCAAAATATGGATAGTTATCTAATTATACCTTCTTTATTGTTCAAAGGCAATGTATTTAAGGTACTCGTGTTGTTATCTAGAATTTTCGAGATATTACAGGATAATGAGGCATAGCTCTCAGAAATAATGTAGAATGCTTGCCAAATTAAAACAACTATTGGTAAAGTTATTTTAATTTGGCAGGCTTTTTATAGTTTATAATTTTTTTATTCTATCTCGGAAGTCTTCTTTTGTTTAAGAAACTGATTAATTTATTCCATGCGCGATACAAGAGCCAACCATTCACAATTTGGAACGTTGGTTCTCGAATCACGACTGACACACACACACACAAAAAAGAGAGAACAAAATTAGAATATATTAGGACCATAGTCAAAATTTTATAATTTTTATTGTCAACAAAATAACCTTGGGAAGAAACATTTTTTTCCAGATGTCACGTGTAACAAAAAATACCAGGCCAAATAAACTGTATTACGTGCACTTTCCCCTGGTTTTGTTTAAATATTTTCACGGTAAGTCAAGTTGTGATTTGTTAGAAATAATTCAGTTTGAGCTAAATACACCAGCAAATCATCTTGGTAAACACGTACGAACGAGCCAGTTATTGCTAGCATTACTTGTGTAGTAAGGTTTTTTTTTTTGGTTTTTTTAAGATGAACTACACTAAATACACATTTTAGCCGCAGCTCACAGAATGGCTCCGAGTTGTTTTCGAATACAAACTTTTAGCTCATAGCGCCATCTCTTGGCAGGATTGGGATCTAATTATAGCTGCATCTTGTTATGAGCTTAAAACTCATTACTGCATTGGCCTTCAAGCATTTCTCTCATTTCATTTTCTGCAAGTTCGTAATAATAATAAAAATAATTATGAGTTAATAATGGTTTAAAGTTTATTTTTAGAATAACATTCCTGATCAAAGGGAATAGTTTTACAATATTAGGCACATAGCAATAGTCAATTCTGACTCTCTTTTTCCCTTTTTTTTATATAATGCATAATTATAGTTCTGAGGTTAGCTTTTCATTTTTACAATTAAAGTTTAAAATTTCACTTACGTTAACACTTATGTTACGTATGGTGCTTTACAGTCATCATTTTATTTTGTAAAGACTACACAGAATTTTTACCAAACAAAAAATTGCTAGAACTACATTTCAAGTGCATGGATAATTTTTTTTCTTTTTTGTACTACGTTAAGAGCTACTAGGAGAACAAGACTACAGTGTCATTCTTTTTAAACTCATCTCCATGCACTCAACTTAAAAACGGTAACATATATCTTTGAGATAATGTACATACCTACTTGTTACACAGAGCACAAGATACGATCTGGTGAAGATGGACTCCACAATAATGAGTTCAGTGTAAATTATACATAAAGGCATAAATGGAATTTTAAATACGCACTAAGTATCTGAAAAATTACAACAAACATTAACAAGTTATTTTGTTAGCTTGTTGTCAGTTTCATCTTGGCAATACTACCTTCTTACTCATTTAACAAACACCAATACGATAACCGTACATGGCTTCTTAACGGTCTCAATCATAAGCACGGTGTTAAATCAAGTAAAGTAACACTGTATGTCTGTATACAAGGGCAATGCGTCTAAAGGAAAACAAATATGTGTGGTTGAAGGTCACTGAACAATTTATTTATTCACATACTTAAGTACTCAATATTCATAGATTACCACAATCTGCAAATATCGCGTTTAACAACACAAAAACAAAACATATGTTAAATTCTTATGCCCTCGGTTGTAGTGTTGTACATATTTTCAGCCGGATCAGTTCGTAAGCTAAGAAACACTCGAAAAATCAAAAACACAAGTTTAAACTAATTAAGTAAAGACAACATTATGACCAAGTTCTGATAGTGGTCATTAATCAAGCTCCATCATTACAATACCTGTCCTTTGTGAACATACTGATATCCAGGCATATTCGAGTATACAGAGTTTTAACTGATGAGCTGGGAAGTGGTAATTCAAGTTTGAACTTCAGTGTCACAGAAATAGGCACACAATTACTCGGCTCCATGAAATAATCTGTATTATTTATTCAGATGGCTGGTTTGGTAAAGTCTAATCGTGTCTGTTCAAGAGTGTTGCCTTACACGACCGTGACTCACCTTGTTCTGTTATAAAAAGTTGGTATATTTGAGGACAATTGTCAGTAAGTTAGTTCACCATCACCGTTGGAATCCCACAAAAGTAAAAAAAAAAAAAAAGTATTAAAATCATTAAAGTTTATGAATGAAGAGTTTTTCTTCAAAGTCTAAGTGTCTAGAACATGATAAGCACAAAACTTTAAAACCACATGAAACCCTTCCGTTATAGGATCATATTGCAGTAACTGCTGATTGGCGGCTATGCTACACAGATAAGATGGATCACCCACAACATGACACCTCTAGACAATATCGGTGCTTGGAGTGATGGGAACATCGAAGAGACCAAGTACAGCCAGCTGCTTCACCTACACTGGCTGAAGAACCGCTGGCCCAGTGTGAACAGATAGAAAGTGGGGCTTTGTCGGCACTTTATTTTATTTTTTTCATCTGATGTTTGCCCAGGAAAGGAAAGCTGGTAGATCCTGGACTGGAACATTGTGGGTTAACGCTTTTACTCGCAAGTTTCTATCTTCAGTAAGTAACACAATTTCTCTGTAAAGTCGGAGTGGTGCATCTAGAAGAACAGAATGTTTTGAGAAATGTATGGTACCACCACAAGTTTTTATTTTATGATAGCTTCAAATCAGTAAAAACATTAAGAATTGAAAACTTACAATGTTATACTGAAACCACACACAATCTCTGTCATTTATGTATTACAGATATATATAATTTTAAACAAAAATTCCAGGGTATTTAAGGTAGTGTAGAGACACAGTAAAGTTTTGACACTAATGGACTGCTCCTATCTGTTTCTAGAGTAGGACAACAAATAGATGGGATGAAGGCCTCAATAAAGAAACCAAAACAGTGTCCAACTTTAGAAGCAGTCCATTAAAGCCAAAACTATATCAAGAATTCTAATGCAAACTTTTATGATGTTGAAAAATGGTTTTTAATGTAACTGATTTTCAAAAAGTGTCAAACATCTCATTACCACCAAATTTTCAAATGTAAGTAGTTATCACTAGTCTATTTTTCTAAACTTATGATTAACAGTCAATACAGAAGTTTATAAGAACAACATTCCAAGTCCTCTGGAACTATTTTCTTCATCCCTACTTGTGCCAAGTCTGTATATCCATGATTAAACACCACATTTCCACTGTAACAAGCTTCTGTGAATGATGGTGAGGTTCCAAGTCCTCTGGAACTATTTTCTTCATCCCTACTTGTGCCAAGTCTGTACAGCCATGATTAAACACCACATTTCCACTGCAACAAGCTTCTGTGAATGATGGTGAGGTTCCAAGTCCTCTGGAACTATTTTCTTCATCCCTACTTGTGCCAAGTCTGTACAGCCATGATTAAACACCACATTTCCACTGCAACAAGCTTCTGTGAATGATGATAAGCTCAACCTGAGGTCAACATCTTGACAGACTTTCACTCTTCCATAACAATGTTAAAATGAAAGAAGTCAATGGATGAAAATGGTCTGAATGAAATGCTACACGTAACATTTTGGGTTTTTTTTTGTAGTTGTTGTTTTTTAATACAATAACTCTTATTTAAGTAGTTTTCATTATACAAATCAAAAGATTGAATTTTCTCCATGAGAAACATTTAATGTACAAGTACTATTCAAACAGTTTGTTAGCAATAAAATAGCCGAAACTGCTTGAACATTCGAATGTTCAAAATTATCTTAAAATTCTTATTCAGTAAACAAACCTTATAACACAGCCTTACTTAACCATGTTACAGCCATATGTTTGAGGTACCTTGGATGTACAGTGCAGACAATTGTTTCTCAAGATAGTGACTAAATTTCACCCATGCTTTATGAAATTTAAACTTTCCACTGTACGAGAAACCTATGGCAACCAATAAAGCATGATAAAAAACACTTTTCATGCTCTGTACCCTACTGAAAAGTCTTTAACACACCCTGATCATCTAATGTTGCTATAAATTTCAAGTTATTTTTCATACAATGTTCTTTCTCAACAATACGTGTGGAAGAAGCTTGAGTACTCTTGGTTCACACACCTTCATAAAAGCAATAAGATCTCTGTGCACAGTTGATTTGAATACTAGTGATCTATCACTTTCTGGGTGGGTAAAACAAGGGGTTCCTGGACGATCAGTCTGCTTGTTCTAGTGATGGTTCTGCGTGTGGTTGGATGCTGTTTTGGTGATCTTACATCCTCATAAGTAAGTGCTTATTTTACCTTTCCAATGTTATAGATAGTCAGACTTGAAATTGGAGGACCACGGGCTCTTTGAATATTTCTATTTCACTATATGGCTGTGATGTAGCTTCCAGCTATAAGCCTACTCTTAATGGACTGTACTGTCAAATGGTCAGAACATCCCCGTGAACAAAATACATCTCACAACTTCAGCAACATTAACACATACAGACCATGCTTATATACGCAAGTCTTTAAAAATTGGTCGACACACGATGATTCATAAACGTCTTCGAAACAAACCTTTCAACATGATGCTTTGAATTAACACTCATTACATTCCCACGAAATTATCTCTTCAATTAATGCTTTTTCAAGAACTTTTTCATTCAGATAACCCCAACTTCTAACATTACTACTCCCTCTTTAGACTCAACAATTCTAATCAGCATTTGTACTTACCCGAGTCTTTTGGCATATAATTTTCTGCTCTATCTTGGCAATAGTGAAGACAACAGGAGAGAATAAGGTCATCATTAGTACACTGAAATAAAAGTAAAAATATTAATGGATGGGCATCTAAACCCTGCAACGTAACAATATCCATAATAATCATTTGTATTAAAATTAAACTGCACGAGAATGGGTTATACTTTAATTTTAAAATGAATCGGATGGTTTAATAAACAGTCATAATTCATGCAAGTCTAGTTAAAGATGTTATTTTAGAAAAATAATGCAAATAACATCTTAAGCACAAAACATTTTTTTTCATATAAATCTATTGTAATGTGTTGCATCTGAAGAATTTCCCATCTGTTAGAAAACCCTACGTCCTAAAACGAAATTCCCTACTCATTTACTGACTGATACAACATGAACATAAGTTCTTAAATGAGACGAACTGGAAATCAGTTTATACATCTATAAAGCAACTAAACAAAATACTTTTTCCCAATGTCTCAGAAGAATGCATACTTCACATGTTAAAAATAGCTCTAGAATTTGAAGTGGTATAACATTCATAACTTGTAAAAGTATTAAACAAATGCTTCTAAAAAGTGAGGACTAATATGCTCATTTAATTTTCTCATGACGGCAATGCCCCTTAAACTAATTACTCTGGATGTTTAAGGACCTCGGGGTTCCGAGTAAGTTGAGTACACTTGTGATATCTTATTCCGTATATTCCTGCCCTTGTACGAAGCCTTAAAAACTTCTTGTTTCACTGATCAACCTATGATCTATCTCATAAACTGACAACTTAGTTTCTAACGCAATAGAAACTCGCATTACTGTATTATTACCAAAGAACAGATTATGTGGCTCTAAAGAAGTTAACACTGAACAAAATTGATTCTATCTGTAACAGAGACTTACTTTGTTGTTGCTTGTGTCTTCACTGCGGAAACTAATAGTGTCAAGAACCGATCCTTTTGACGTCACAGCTCGTAAGTGTTGATCACGTGCAGCAAAGCTGGACTCCAGGAACATGATAGCATCATAAGCCATCCTACCAACCATTCGGGTATTTTCTTCTGTCTGGTTAGGAGATTCCCTTAACCCTCGACTCAATCCATCCAGTTCGTTAATTACTAGAAAACAAAAAGATATTTATGGAAAGATCGAGAGGATGAGATAACATTACTGTTATTATTCCATATACAATTATTATAATAATTCAAAGTAAGTAATTCATGAACTACATTTGGAACGATACAGTGTTCACTGTTCAAATATTTAGCCTAACTATATAATTATTATGTTTTCATACATTGGCTGTTATTTCTAATGGTACAAAAATAAATTTGGATTATAGCTTGAATTGCAGCAATATCACAATTTTGGTACGTAGCATTTCTTGTAAGTGGGTAATAATTTCATATTATAAGAATTAAGAGAAGACCCCGAAATTCATAATAAAATTCACTGCCTTTACCATCACCAATTAATAATTTGCAGGGTCATACAGTTGACCAAGCATAAATATGTCTTTGCGAATTAGTTTTTTCACATGTTTCAATCTATAAGGATATATCAAGAATAACATTTGAACATAACTTAAGACCCAGCGCTGTGAAAAACTCAGCCCTGATATGGCTACGCCTCTTTTTAAATTATTATTACTGATTTAACATCTGACTACTTTTATACTTTCTATTGTAGGTACAGTGTATGAGGGTGATGGATCACAAAGATGACAAACATGGCCTGTTCCTTTCTTTCGTTTTTCACGTTCATCACAAACTCTGCCAGTTACTACTGTTTCCAGGCTTCCCGGTATCTGATTGAAAACTTATGTAGCTAAACTATTTACTAATAATTACTATGTTGTGTTGAAATCAGCTCAACTAATGTAGCTAAGCTGCTTACTAATAATTACTATGTTGTGTTGAAATCAGCTCAACTAATGTAGCTAAACTCTTTACTAATAATTACTTTATGCGCTTTTTCAATTATAAGTTTCATACTTTGTTTTCAGTCAAATGTTTAGTAAAATATCCTACTTTTTCATGGCTGCGGGTCTTAAAAATATACAGAAGTCAAAATGCTAATCAATCAATATTTAATTAAAGGAGATGACCAAATATACATAAAAAATATTGTTTTTGTTAAATACGAGAAATAGGATTCCATACATATATCGTAACAAGATTATAATTAATTTTTTATACAACACGTTCATAAGACATTTATTTAAATATAATTCTGAGAAAAAAAAAAAATCATTATTTCTCTCTCCAGACATGTATACAAGATGAAATGAAATTATCAACCAACTAATTTACAAATGAATTATACTTGAACTTAATAAAAACAATAACCCTTATTATACCCATCCCACGTACTTACCCACAAGAGGGACAACCAAAATAAACTGTGACATTTTTGCCACCTTGCGAATATGTTCCAGGTGGTTGATGAAACAATTGGTGTCTGGGATAAGATAACGAGGACGGATTTCCACCACCGTAGGACGTTTCTGTTGGGTTTCTTGCAGCACAGCCTGGAAGAAAATACTGATGCTTACGAATCATCATTTAGAAGTTAGCAATGTTAATACCAAATTTTATGCCCATTATAAAATAGAAGAAGTGTTATCTTTTACTGCACTATCTATCATCCGTCACTACATTAGATATCGTTAATCCAGTGGTGTTGTGTCCATAACTCCACCCCATGCTTTCTATAAACTGTTTTAATAATCGCAAATCAACGTATAGACGTTTAATTAAATATGTTCAAAATATTTGTCTGTATTTGAAACCAATAAGTTAGTCAAAGTAACAACAGAAATTTAATAATACGAAAAGTAAAAGGCACCCCGCTTATTGTTGTTTGTATGATTTTTATTATTATTAACCCACCATTGATAACAAATGTACTTTGTTTTCTGACTGCTGCTTTACTCAGAGAACTTTGTACAGATTTTCCAAATTTATAAAAAAAAAATAGCACTTTGTAATTTCTTTTCAACTAAAATTTAAAATCTTTCAGAAAAAAAAATATTTACCTTAAATTGGCAAACTTTTCCTCATTAGTATTGCAAAGTTATTTTTGAATTTAAAACAAACAAGTTGAGATCATTATTAGTGACAATAAATCATCCAGAAACAAACACTTATGTTCTGCTTTTGATTTTCGTTTTTTTTAAATGATATTTATGTTTTTAAAGCTAATTTTTCATTGGCTCTAACCTATGATTTTGTTTTGACAGATATGATTTACTATTTTTAATTTAAGGTACGATTAAGGGTTTGTTAGCTTTTCTTACATCAAACTGAAGTTTTTGTAACTTTGTGAAATGTCATGAAAAGCGTAAGGTATCTCTGATTGTTGGAGGAGCTCTTACTTTCAATCCAATAAACTAGTAAATATATTACTTAGCAAGATGCAGTGAAGTATAAGAAAGGACAAGATACGTTAGTCAAACTGAGATTCTGTCACAAGCCCAAAGGACAGGTATAAATGATTTGAAATAAACCTTTCAACATGATGCTTTGAAATAAGTCATTACATCCCTACGAAATTATCTTTTCAATTAATGCTCTTCAAGAACTTTTTAATTGAGACTGACCTCGTAACCATTTTGTGCTTGTTAATGTTTTCATGCTATAACTTTTAAATTAGTAAGCATATATTAACGATTATCAGTAAACATTAACAATCCTGAAATGGATATCTATTAATTAACTTTCACTCAACTATTAATATATGCACATCAGCATTACTAAAAGTTACTAACACATATACTATTTTTTTTGTACTTATAATTAATCATCTTTTGTTATCAAACAGAAATAATTGGTAAACCGCTTATCCTTCTACCTCTTTCACTCATACACGCTTTGAAAACTTCTTTATAAGACTCATAATCAGGAAGTAACCTATAACTAAATGCGACTAAATATGTTCATCAGATGTAACAGCAGTAACTGAGAATCATGTAACATACATAACAAAGACATGTCCTTGAAGTTACAGGTAACCTTTTAGTTACCATGAAATGTACTGGAGCAAACAGTCTGGCAGAATTTGGTTACGCAGCAAATTCATTTCAAAAATAATAAACATTTTCTTAGTTAGACTTCGTATATGTAAAAAAACCGAGTAAGGCTTAAAGATTCTTAAAAGTTTGCTTTGGTTAAGTACGATTTGACAGAAGTTCTTTGCCGCACCAGCTCTTAAGGTACAGAAAGCTTTACTGTTGTACCTGTACATCTTCTCCGACCTCATATCAGACTTCGATACTGAAGATATCTACTTGACGAGTATAATTTATTTGGGACATTTATTAGCAGAAAGCATTATCTAGTTTTTCATAATTTAAAACTTAGCCTTCAAACAACACATAAATAATGATAATAAAACAAATATCAGATTTATTATAAACTGTGTTATTTTCATTTTAGAAGTCTAAACAAATACAAATACTGATTAAATAAAAGAATGTATTTCAGCCTCACAATGACTCCAGGTAATTCTTTAAAACAGGAGGTAAAAATAAAGAAATTTAAAGTAACAACTGGCAATTCAGAGCAAAGATGAGATGTATTTGGACAAATTCCGAAACTAAGTATCATAGATCTAAAAAAGTTAAAAATATAGGAACAAACAGAAGCATACAAAATGTACAAAACATAAAATTTTATAACAAAGACAGCTTTATTAACAATTATTCAATCCAACTGCAACTTGCATAAACGAAAATCACCTGAACCTTGAGAAATCTGATATTCATCAATTTGAATCCAAAGTTTTAACATGCATGTTCAAGTATTTGATATGAAAAATAATCATTCTGACAGATACCACGAATGATAATAGTAAAAATACAATCTTCGAATGACCTTACTTGGACTTGAGCATGATGTCTATCTTGTCTTGCTTTCTTCTTTTTAAGCTCCTCCTTCCGAGACCACAGCTGTTGGATCTCCGTTTCCTGCTGACTGTTTGGAATGCTGCTACCTCCTTCAGTACCTGCAGCCCACTCATCAAAGCCACCTTCTATTACAACGTCATCATCCGACTGGAATTACATACAAAAACAAGATTTCATGCAGTATTTACTATCTCATATAAATTTGGTGGGTTCCTCCCATAAAAACCTTGTACTTATCTTAGACAGTAGGTTAGAATTGTGGCACAAAACTGACCACTTAGTAAATATCAAAATAAAAAAATGTCCACATTATGCATCATGTTTTAAAACCCGAAGTAAGAAATGAAATCAATTCTATTTCATAATTTAAATTACATTGGCTATCAGATCATGTGAGAGTAAAAACCAATACACCACAGAAACACACTGGCTATCTGATCATGTAAAAGTCAATACACCACAGAAATACACTGGTTATCTGATTATGTAAAAGCCAATACACCACAGAAACACACTGGCTATCTGATTATGTAAAAGCCAATACACCACAGAAACACACTGGCTATCAGATCATGTGAGAGTAAAACCAATACACCACAGAAACACACTGGCTATCAGATCATGTGAGAGGTAAAAGCCAATACACCACAGAAACACACTGGCTATCTGATCATGTGAGAGTAAAAACCAATACACC